TAGGACGGGTCCGGGTGCCAGGTCAAACCTGAGCCCAAGGTCGAAGAGGATGCGACGGAGGCCTTGGGATGCGCACGCCACGGCACAGTGAAGCGCGATCAAAGCCAGGGTCAAGAGCAGAAGCCAGTGCGGGAGTCAGAGGAGCCCTCCCATGCGTGGCTGCGTGGCATGCAGCTCTGTTTTTCTCTTTTTCCCACACCTTTCGCGCGATTTTTGTTTTGAAGAGGGATGGCGGATGAACGTCATTGGATGCCGAGCGAGAGTGGACGAGGAGGAGGCCGATCCGGGAGTGGCGGAGGCAGACGCGTCAAACTTGGCACTGCTGGATTTTCCAAGCCAAGGCCTTAGATTCCCCGACAATGCTGGTGGCCGGGCGGGTCATATCTGAGGGGGAGACCTGGAGATCTTCGAGCAGCTTGGGCGAGGCCCGTGAGCCATCGCTGGGAAGGTCGCTGGGAGCCTGTCGCTGAGAGCTGTTAGGCGCAAGCGGCTGCCGAGTGCATCGCTGCAATGGAGCCGGGAGCCTCCCAGCCTCCCAGCGTCTTTTTCACGGCTCTCACTTCTCTGAGGACGGCCGCATCATGGCTGCGAAGGCTTGCAATTGAAGCATGGCTTCTTGAGCCAACTGCCTCGAGGTGCTACCTTTGACGGCGACCACCTGGCCAGACATGATCGAGGACGCATGGACGCGTGGACGCGTGGGAGGTTCTGACGTTTCGATGCCCCGTGAGCCAGGACTTCGAGAAGGAGGTCCAGGTGTTGAAGCTGATCGGTCAGCAGCCTGGCAGTGCTTAAACGGGGCATTCGGTGCGTGCGATTGCGGTTTTCCCAGAGGCATCCCGGTCTGGTGGAGTTCTTTGGGGCTTGGCGGCTGGAGGGGGCCGCCGCTCTGGGCATCGAACTCTGCGGCTCCACCCTGGAGCAGCACGTCCGGCGCCGCGCCGCGCAGCCGGCGCCCTTCGCGGCCGCGGAGCTGGCGGCGCTGGCGCCGGTGGCCGGGGGCCTGGCGCACCTCCACGGCCGCGGCGTGCTGCACCGGGACCTCAAGGCCGCCAACGTCTTCCTCGCCCGCGAAAGCGGCGGCGAAGGCGAAAGCGTCGAAAGCGTCGACCTACCTCTGACCGCATTCGCGGCCAAGCTCGGAGACTTTGGGGCCGCCAAGGCGCAGCCTCGGCCGTTCCGCGCTGTCTCTCGTCGTGCCGGTGCGTGTGCCTGTGCCAGGTGTGCAGCCGTGCTCAAACGCCCGCCATCTCCTCACGGCAGCTTGCCGCGGACTTGCCTCGCTTAGCTCTCGCGTCAAGGTCCAAACGCCACACTTCATGGCCCCAGAGGTTGCTCAAGGAGGCGCGGCCTCATCTCAATGTGGCATGGGGTGCGGTGGTGGCTTTTATCAAGGCAATGTGATGTGAGCTCTGTGATAAGGTGAGTACAACTCCGCGGCAGACGTCTGGGGTCTTGGGTGTCTTATCTTCGAGGTGCTGGAGATGGGACTCCCCTATGGCGAGGAGAGATGAGATGGCGCGGCCAACTTTCCCTCATGCATCCCAGGACCTAACACTGCCACAGCTGGAGAAGGCAGGAGAGAGAAGGGCATAGAAGTTCTCATAGAAGTTCTCATAGAAGTTCTCATAGAAGGGCATTGGGCATGGAAGGGCTGCATCGCGTGCGGGAGGCCCTGGTGGCGGGCCTGGGCCCGCAGCTCACCGACAGACCGCAGGTGGCGGCTCGCTGCCCGGACGCAGCGCCGGCCTGAGGGAGTACTGTGTGCAAGCGGGTACGGCATCACAGGGGTTGTATCGTATCTTGTTATGTCGATGCATGTGGGTTTTCCCGGAAGTTCGAAGCATGGAATTTAGTCGTTTTAGCGGACGGCTTGGCATTGGTTTGGCGAAGGCGCAGAAGATGTGAGCAGATGTTTTGGTATTGACCAAGGTTTGTGAGCTGAGACGAGCGGGAAGGTGCGTTTTGGTATTAGCATAGGTTTGTAAGTTGACAGACGAAGAGTGCTTGCTCATGCCGAAGCGGAAGAGGATTGTTTGCTTTATGTTCGATACCCTTGCGCCAAAGATATTTTTTGCATCAATTGAGTGAGTAGAACATTAGTAATGAAGACTTAGACAAATTTGGGGACATCTTGGCATTAAGCATATGAGAAAGCAACACAATATTTGTTTGAAAACAGATGCTTGATTGTTGACCGATATTTTTGCAACACTTCGGAGATATGTGTATGACAGATTATGCTTAGACCCAGTGTATTACGTTTTCTTCCCTTTACACTTTACCTAACTTTGCTTCTGGTGTGAATTCAACCTTGTTTGCCTTGCAGTAGAATTCATGTATGGGCACCGTTTTTGTGAAGTGATTGAAGAAGGATCAAGAGGAGGAATGACACAGACAACCTGCAAGACAGCAGAAGCAACTAAAATGGTTTTATTGGTGGCAAAGTCTTAATGAGTCATCTGCGCAAGCCTGCCGACATTGTGACATGAGCCCACTTCTGGTAAGATCCGTCTAAACTGATATGACTTCCCTTGCATAAACAGCAGTCGCGGGTTGAATACGTTTATGCGCTTTTTAGAACCAACTAAGGTAGAGATGTGCTCACTTGACAGGGCTCTAAACTCACCCGGAAGCTGATGTGTGCAATCTTTGCAAGTCACATGGTGTTGTTGCAAAAGGGGAGTTTTCATGTGAGGTGGCAATGATGGACCAGTGCCTGCAGAAGGCTCTACTGTGCTGCCAGGCGTTTGTTGTTTGGATGTGCTCAGGAGCCTTCGGCCAGGCCCAAAGCAGAGGCCCGGAGCCACACCGTGATTTCAGATGCCGTTGAGTTCCGACTCCTTTTATGCGCGTTGAAACTGCAGGCTTGCCAGCGCTTGCTGGTATGATAGTTTGTTGGCCCGGCCAAGCCGGGCCGTCGAGGTGCACGCTCGCCATGCCAGTTTTGGGGGTAAGGACAACGAAGTTGTCATAGCCTTCCAGTTTTAGGGGCGACGTTTGGCGTCTCGCCTTTCAAAGACAAGGCCCAAAGGGTCCAAAGAGCCAAGAGAGCGCTGCCTCTGAAACGTTAAGCATCGAATAAAAGCGTGGAGCGTGTCGTGGAGCGTGAAGCATGAGCAATGCTGTGGCTCCAGGAGGATGATGCCAAGGCCTTCAAGAAGAAGTACCGCATCACGCAGATGTTCAGGTGCCAGTGGTGCCTGTGGTGCCAGTCCCGTGGTTCATGTTGCCTCTTGTGGTGCGCGCCGTGTGATTCGCCAGTGCGACGATGCCTCCGGCTATCGAGCGCATGGCGCGCAACTTCCTGCGGTGCTGTGCTTATGCTTTGGATAGCTTTTGCTCAGCATGTTTCAGGCAGTGCTGCCATCCATGTCTCAATTTGCGCAGTCACTGGAGTGTGCAGTGTGCAGTCAGAAATAGCCTTGCCCAAATGCAGGTGTCCCGCCATCATCAACGTTGGGGACCCTGGCCAGGCCAAGAAGGCCACTGGCTAGAGGGATGCAGTCTCGCTCGCATGGCGTGATGTCACTCTCATGCAGAGAGATGAAATGCACGCGGAAAGAGAGATGCCGTGGCAGGATATCGAACAGAACTTGGAATTCATCGGGGAGGCGAGGGCCCGAGGGGGCTCAGAGCGCCGTACGGCTCGTAAGAGTAAGAAGAGATCAAAGGAGACGAGATCAGAAGAGATCAACTTCGCAAGAGCCGTCCGATGCTGAGGCCAAAAAGAAGAAGCGCTTGGAGGAGATGCTCGTCGGCGCAGAGCCGCCAATTATTGCGCGGGTCCTGGACGACAGTTCTGCGCCCTGGCGACAAAAAGGGCATGACTGCCATTAGCTGAATTTGAGGTGTTCGTGAACCAAAAGAAGGCGGTGGATGTGCTGTCCAAGTGGATGCCTTAGTTTGGTTTGGACGCCTTCTGGAGCCCTTGACGGTCGTTGCTCACGAGAGGCATTTCCGTCCCTGACTTTGCAATGCAAAGGTCGCTTGACAACAACGGCTACCGCGTTTGCTCCATCCACGGTGGCAAGAGCCAGGACTTTTTTTGTCGACCGAAGATCTTGGCAGTCAATGTGCCACGCTGCAGCGCAGGAGCAGCGCGAGTGGGCCATGAACTCCTTCAAGGAGGGCAGGCGGGATGGTAAATCGATGTCTTTGTTCGTTTCGCTCAGCTCATGGCCCTGCAAGAGCCAGGTATGACATCCTGGTCGCCACTGACGTTGCAGGGCGTGGCCTTGATATTGAAGGCGTGCAGCGCGTGATCAACTTCGACATGCCGAAGACCATTGAGGCAGTCAAGTCGTTTCCCCGCTACTCGTCTCGTTCTTGTTTTGGCCTCTTTGCTCGTTTTATTTTACGCTGCGTGACCACTCTTGTGTTGTGTGACCTGGTAACTCAGCGGTGATCCCAAGAGGGCTAGCGCAGGACTACACGCACCGTATCGGCCGAACTGGCCGAGCAGGTCTCAAGGGTGTGGAGCTCAAAGTGCAGTGATGCCTTGCAGCTGGGAAACTGTCTGAACTTAGGCTTCAGGGTTTTGGCTTTCCCAGTTGCAACGACTTAGGCTTGGCAATCTCCTTCGTGACGCCCGAGGAGAAATTGAGGGAGTGAGGTGGCACATTGGGCGCAGGCGATGCCTCGCCAGGACTCTGAGATCTTCTACGATCTCACCAACTTCCTCAAGAGTTCCAATCAAGTCGTGAAACACTTAGAGAGTATCCAAGAGAGCATCCTGGAGAGTGAGACGGGGAGCTGGGACACGTTAGGTCGCTCTTGATTTGGCTGCCAGGTGCCACCAGAGTTGGCTTCCCATCCAGCGTCCAAGTTCGCGACTCAGTGAGCCAAACTGGCAGGCTACCATGCAGACTGATGCGTTGCTGCGATTTGATTTGTGGGGCATGGCAAAGGTTCAAACCGGGCACGGTCAACGAGCATGGACAGGCCGAGTGTTGAACGCTTGAACGCAAAAAGGCACTCGATCCTATCGCAGGTTATGGGACGTAAGCTGGTGGATCAAGTGGTGTTCGCCAAGAAGTGATGCTCCACTTGCTCTGCATTCGATGTGCAGCTGTCCAACTGGCAGACAGCGTGGCTTACAAAGAATATGGAACGCTGCATTTCCGAACATTCCTTTTTGTGAAATTTCTTTGCCAGTGCCCCTTTGGATGCCCACGTCAAGCTAATCTGATACCTATTCTGGATGTCTCACTGTCATGCCATGTCGATCGAGCGGCCTGCTCTGGCGCAGCAAATCAAAGCGGCCGTGCTGTGATTCGGATCGTACGTGGTGTTGTTTCTTGTTTGTTTCTTGTTTCTCCTGGTTGCTCTTTTCAAATTCTTGCAGTCTTGCAGTTTCAGGATCAATGTGCAACAAGTGAGAATTGCGGTTAACAGTTAGCTTGATCCCAGAGAGTGTAGGCCATTTGCGCCAAACGAAGTCAAGAGTTATCCGCTGATTGCCCCCGAGATCTGTGGGCGCCATGTGATGCCGGGCCTTATAGGTGCGCAGTCCTTGCGGTCTGCCAGTCGGCTTGCGCTGACTGAGCTTGAGGCCACGGAAGCCACTGGTGCCCTCGCGCCATTCCCCCGAAAATGCGCACGAGCACTTGAGCACTTGTTCCGTGCTTGTCTTCTCTGTCGGAGAAATTACGGCAAGTGCTTGCCGTAAGTTACTTCTGGCCACTTTGATCGAATATGCCAGGTACAAAGACTACAACGACTACAAAGACTTCGGGTCTCTCGTGGAGGCTCAGGCTCGGGCAATGCTTCGAGCTCGCTCGCGATGGTTCCATGCTTCCAGGCCACATCTTTCTTCGGCTTGTCCAAGCAGGCCTGCGCGGCCTGCGCGGCCTGCGCGGCCTGCGGCCTGCGGCCCGACAGAGGTTTTGCTCCCACCCAAACCTCGTTTCAGGCAAAGTGCAAGAAAGTCATCAATGATGCGCCACCCAGCTGAATGTCTCGGAGTGCCTGACCATCCTGCTTGGCTACGCTTGATCTCTCTTGATCTAAGTATAGTCGAGAAAGCAATTGCTGCAATAGCTGGCAAAAAGGGCACAGAAGGTTCTGCCATTGAGCTTTGAATGTTGTGGATCCGAGGTATTTTTGTGCCGCGGCCTCTGAAAACCCTGGAACGGAAGAGAACCTTTGGGACCTGATACTTAGGCCGAGGATCGTGGAAGCTCATCCAAGCCCAAAGTAGTAGGTAGCCCCAGTCGCTTGACTACGGAAAGCGTGAGTCCCGAGCTTTTAGGAGCTGCCGAAGAGATACGCAAAGTCTTTCGCCGAAGAAGCCCGCTCCTCGGCGCTCAGCGCTCAGCTCGTGTCCGTGTCCGCTTCAGGTTGGCCTGCTCGGAGAGTTCGCCAAGCAGGGCAGCTTCTTCCTGGGTGAGGCCGATCTTCTCGCCCCGATTGCGCACCTGTATATGCTGTATATTTATACCGTTTATACCGACAGCTTTCATTCCTGTGTTCTGTCCCATCTGCAAAGACGTCCCTGCAGGTCATTGCATATCATTTCCTGTCTGTTTTGAGTCCCATTTGCAAGTGTAAGTCAACTCCACTATATTTTCTCCAAGTTCCAAACAGGTCATCGCTATACAATTCTACTCAAATTGTGATTGGTTTTTAATCGGACTCATTTCGGAAACGACATTTCCATATTTCGATTCCAAATATAATTGCACTTCTGACGAAATAGTTCCCTATTACACAATACTAAAGCACCATTCTATCATGAAAGTCATCCTTGGAAAGGCTTTCTTTCGACATGATCATGGCAAATAGAGCTTCTATTTGATGGGTTCATTAGATTCTGTTCATCATCAACATCCTATTTGGCTAAGGAGCCTTGAAAGGATCGCTTACAGAGCCTTATTTAGAAGGTTTATAAGAGGTCACAGGAGACTTTACCAGCAGCTTTAGAAGGATTTGCACAAGGACAAGGCGCCTTTAAGCGAAGATGTATAAGGATCTATACAACTAGCCCGACAAGGAGCTGAGTACGGAGCCTCATAAAGGGAGCTTTACAATAAGGAGCCGTAAGTCAAGACATCCAAGCTCGCTGTTGAGTTGTGCTTTGGAATCGACATTCGCGGAACCATACGGGTGTGGTGCTGTTGGGGATATCACCTCAGCTTATTTACAATAGATATCATACGTAGATATTTGTGATTGTACCCGAGGCCAAGCAGCTGATGCAGCAGACCAGCGACCACCTGGAGGGAGCCTGGGCCTTTCCTCGGATCCCTTGCACGGCTCGGTCGACCATGCTGCGAGGTCGGCCATGCTCTGGACAAAGCTGACAAGGCACGCGAACCTGGATGCAGGCAGATGATTCTCAGCTGCAAACCCAGCCTCCTGCATTTAGTGTTTCAGCTTGCCTCGCGCGCCGTGCGTTGTTTGAAGGCTCAAGATTGGCAGCTACACTTTGAACCCCCCACTATTGAGCAGATATTGGCAGTTGCATTAGTTGAAGCTGCATCACCATGCTGGGGTTGCATTCGGTAATGCTAAGTGTTACATTGTTGCAAGTCATGCAACGTGGACGACAAGGCAGTGAAAGGGATGTGCACCTTGGGAAGCCATGGGCATGACTTGCGGGCATTGATCCAAGAGGAACCTCTATCGGTGTGTATTCTGGGCTTTCGGCACGAGGTGCGAGCGCTGCAGTATGACAAAGCACCAGGATAGCTGGCATGCTGTCGCAAGCTGCCACAAACTTCTAGGTAACAGCGGTTGTGTCTTTTTTGGCCTTGGAGTCTGGCTTTGACCCAGGACATAGCCAAGGCTCAGCTATTGAAGCCAGCCTTGCGGCAGCTAGCCGCAAACGTGGCGCATTTGGTCACTGCCCCAGGTCGCGTTTAGGCTCTTGCACGCTCCCTCGAGTTCTGAGAGAACTCGAGGATCTCACCGGTCAGTCATTGGGAGACACAGGCGCACCGGTCAGTCGTTGGGGGAGACAGCAGAGCTGCCCCCTGCAGTTGATGTCACAATGTATCAAGAGTCTGCCACTCATCCAGAATTGGCGCCAGGTGCTCTTTTGTTGGCAGATGCTATGAAGGCCCGCGACACCTTTTGAGCCTTCTCAGAGTGATTTTCGACAGCGACTGAGCAGCCCAGGGAAATTCTTCTTTGAGAATCCTGAGCTGGCACCTCACCGGGAGGCCTCTGCATGTATCCGAATGGCGCAGAGAGGCCTTCGCTGGAATGGCATCAAAGAGCGCGGCGCTGCCGCCACGAGCCAAGGTTTGCGCCCCTCAATCAGCTTGGCCTGGCCACCTGGACCGAGGCCATCGCAGCAGCGCTCCAGGTGAGCCATGTACGCTGCAGGCGCCTTACGCCTCCTGGCGTCTCGCGTTTTGGAGCTCACAGAACGGGCAAGGCTTGGACCTCTATTGCAATTCCTTCGGCGACAGTGCGCGGCCCATGCCACGCGAGAGCCTAGCAAAACCGCTGGATGGCCAACTTGAAAATGATGGGTTTATAGGAAGATTTACCATATGCTAGTACGCACTATCACATACAAGACACTATACACTAGTACTATATGATACTATAAATCTGTCATTATGATTGTACTGCTACTGCTACTGCTGCTGCTGCTGCTACTACTTCTCCCACTACCACTACCACTACCACTACCGCTACCATGATCACAAATTCTTCTACCGCTACTGCTACGATGCGGGAGGAGCGTAGATTCCCATATTTGCTATGCAATCATGGCGCATCCAGCAAGTTTGCTTCTCATGTAGCTTGGGCGCATGCAGCACAATGGAGACTCTGGGCCATGGTGAGAAGAGCCGAAGAGGGAGGGAGTCCCCCCAAAGCAATGCTCAGTGCACCCGTCTCGAAAAATATTGTGCAACATAGAAGGGGGGTGTTGTGCACAGCGACGTCAATTAAAGGAACTGCAAAAACGACAACGTTACGTTGCACTGGATTGATTTTGCAGCGCGTTCTAACTTCGACCGAGTTGACAAGCCGCAAGTGATGCTTCAGTCGCGCGTACTCAGAAGTGTTGCAAGACACCTTTCTGCCAGAGGTCGTCGAAAGCGGGATTGGCCCGAGACAGTGGCTGCAGACCTGTTGTCTTATGCAATAGCAGCAAGCACAGGCATGTGTGCTTTGTGCACGAGAAGGCTTTGTAGGCAGTCAAAAGGCGGAGAGCCTGAGCTCTTTGGAGAAGCTCGTCTGCTCACGTCAACTGTGCGCACGTAGATTTGTGCAAGACGGGGCAGGGGAGTTCGCAGAATCACGGTAGCTAGCAGCACTTTGTTATGGAACCTATGCACTTTCCACACACAAAGACTACCACTACCCCTACCACTACCACCACTACTGCTGCTGCTGCTGCTGCTGCTCCTACTACTACTACTCCTCCTCCCGCTGCTGCTGCTGCTGCTGCTGCTGCTGCTCCAAAGAGTATTCTTACTACTATCGCGATTAAACACAAAGGCACCACGGGCCATTGGCGCTTTGATTCACTTGATCTTGATTAGAGACGCCGTTTGTTCTTTTGCAAGTGTTTTTGCAATTACTGCTACAGCGCTGTGCCCATGGACATGTCACGAGACAACGAGAGGGGTCAAGGCCGGATGCCGGGGTGGGTGCAGTGCGAGCAAGGTGGAGCCACGCACGTGGCCGGGGGCCCGGGGGCCTCGGCCCTCCCAAGGCTTGCCTACTTCATGGGCTGAGGCCCAGGCAGCCAACAGCTGCAACAGCTTGCGGGAGCTGGACCTAGGCTGGACTCAGGTTCGTGTGTGCATTGCGCCATTGCGCGCTTCTGCTGGAAGCAGGTTGGAATTCCGTGTGCGACCCTGGAGCAGCCAGAGGCTTAGCTTGGAAGCTCAAGCTCGCAGAGATCGCTTGAGGGAGGCACTCGCGTTACGTGGGAGGCCGCCATTGCCACATGTTTGATGCAGAACCAGACGCTCTTGGAGCTGGGCACGGGGCTGAGGGGAGGTGTTTTCGCCGAAGCAAGCTCTCTGCTCAAGGCCTGGAGCAGAATGCCATTGGTGAGAACGGCGCCAAAGCGCTGGCTGCAGCATCCTAGCCGAACTTCCGAAGCTCGTGGCATCCGGACACGGAGCTTGGTCATTTTGTGGCTGTCAGGCACTGCAGCAGAACCACAGCCTCATCAAGCTTCGCCTGCGAGGGAATCCTCTCCAGGCGCGAGACTCTGACGGCCTCAACAGAGGGACCTGAAAACTCAAATTGACGGCGCTTGCAGGGCGGCTTTGAGCTGAAGGCATCCGGAAGGCGTGGAAAGCGAGTCGGCCTTTCGGTCAATGCGAGCGGGGAAGGCTGGACCTAACAGAGAGGCCGGCCAGCTCCTGGCCACAACTTTCTCTTTGCATTGCATCTACTCTACTCCGACAACTTTGCAAATTCGACTTTTCGACTCTTTGCCTTAGGAGCACGGCGCGGGCCTCGCTGAGCCCGCAGCTCGGCTCGCTTCGCGGGACAGATCCGCGCGCGGCCGTTTGCAGGCAGCGAGCCGGAGGCCGAGGGCTCAGCCCAAGCCACGAGGCGGAGCCTTTGGTTTCATGCCGAGATGCCGAGATGCCGAGATGCCGAGATCTCGTTTTCGTCTTGCCGAGAGGCCGAGCGCAAGGAATGGCAAGAAAAGTGGGCGTTTGCATGTTGGCCTCGCGCTTGCACTTGCATGGACTTGAGTAATCTGGCATCTGGAATCTGGCAGGCTGGGCTGGTTGGCAGGACCGAAACGTGACAGCCTTTCCTGCACGCAGACACAGACACATACATTGACGCGAGTTCATGATTGGGCGGGGCTTGTTCAATTCGTGGAAAAGCAGGAGCATGTTCAGCCATGGCAGAGTCTTGCCTTTGTCTCGTGCGTTTGGCTCATCCCAGTTAGATATAGGAAGAATAACCTGGTTTGTAGATCACAGTGCAAGCTATTTTCTTTGGTGCCAGACCCCCTTTGCTGAAGGTGAGGTTTATCATCGCGACGAATGGCCGTTCCCTTTTTGGAAGAAAGCATTGATTCCGTCGTAGCTTGAACTCTTCAAAAGTTCTGCATGTGGTCTCCTTGGTCTCCTGGGGAAGTTGCCTCTCACACTGACAGCTGCGGCCTATGGACTTTGATGGGGATTGGTTGTGGACGGTGCCTGCCAGAGGTGGCGAGTTGGGACATGTTGGGACATTTGCTGGCAAGTGGCCGCGTGTTGACGCAGGCAAGTGGAGGTCATTGGAAGATCGCTTACGCATCTGGGCTAGAATTATAACTTCTGTGCAGAGACGTCATATGCCAAGGTTAGTGATGTGGAAGGCCACTGGGACTTTTTCTGCAACTTTGTGGAGATTTGCCACGGGCTGCGCTTTGCCCGGGGTGCTACCTGGCTGAAGGCTACAGGAAGGCTTGGGAGGAGCAAGTCGTTTGACTGCAGGATGGCCGCGAAGCCCGCACAGCTCACGAACTGGACCCTTGGACACATCCATCAATCTGTCAGCGCGCCAAGCTGCCAGCTTCGTGTCATCCAAGGAGCTCGAATTGGAGGAGGACTGGTGCTTTGTCTTTGGCGGCGATGCAAGTGACAAGGGACCTGGCACCCTGCGTGTCGTGATGGCCCTGGTTGCGCTGAAGAAGCGCCATGGCTCAGCCGAGAGGCCGTTGCAGCCGGACGAGCTGTTGCGCTTAAGATAGTTTTGCAACTTAAAACGGTTTTGCAGCTGTAGGCAAACAAACCTGGCTGATTGTCAAGTTTTAGCTGAGGAAGCACCCAGAGAGGGTGTTCTTGATCCTCGGCAACCGGGACACTTGCCGGGTTTCTGCAACGGCAGACAAAAGCGTCCACAGTTCTTCCCCGGCTGCCACGCTTGTATTCTCATTGAATGATTCCAGGGTGTAACTCGCCCAGCGGATATGGCTTGTGCAAGCTTCTGCATTGCGACATGGTTGCGATATGGCGCAGGACATCAATAAGATGCGCTTCACTTCTGAGCTTGCAACTTCCGAGCTTGAGCGCGTCAAAGAGGCAGGGAGGCGGAGACACGCATGGACCAGCGAACACGTGGAGCCGTATGTTTTGACTCGCTTGACAGGTTCCACGCGCCTTTTGGCAGTCTCGACTGCCTGGAAATTGTGTGGGGCCAAGACGTCAGGTCGTACGGAGAAGGTGGATCCGTACCCCGAGGTCCCACATATTGGGAATACTTGAAGCGAAAACTTCAGGATGAAGGTGTGAAGGAGGCTGGATATGGCATGGGGCAACCATGGCGTAACATTGACATGTCGAGAAATGCAACTGGAGCCGGTAGACAATATACCTGTATGCCCATGCCATGCCTTTTGGCATAGGATGAAGTGACTGACAAGATGGTCTACGATCGCAGCTCCAAAGCTAGCAAGCTTCTTGCGCGGCATCTCCTCAGCTCTCGAGCTCGGCAAAGCGCTTTGCCTCTGACTTGGCTTGACCTGACTTCAGGCTGCGCTACCTGTTGGACTGTGACATGGGCTCGGCAGGCGACTTTGAGTTTAGACGCGAGGAGCGCGCCACATGACATCTGAATTTGCTGGTACTCCGTGCGAGGAGCTTGCTCATCTGAAAAACGTGGCCAAAGGGGATGTGACCGACGAGGATTTGAGAGCCAGTTGCTTCTTTTGGCATAGTTGTGCTCATTTGCTCTTTCTCTTTGTTATCATGTTGCATCCTGTTGCATCCTGTTGCATTCTGTTGCGTCATGGTGCGTCATTTGCTTGATGCTTAGCCTTCAGGAGGTGGTTCGCAGCTACGAGGAGAGTGTTGCGCCGGGCGGCAGCATGAGGCTTGGACTCTAGCCATGTCCGGGTCCGGTCCGGGCGCGTGCCAGGCAGCTCCTTGAGATGGGGCAGCTTGCACTCCTTTTGGAGGGCACTCTCTTTGTCCATGGGCAGGCAGTGTCACTCCCTTTTCTCTTCCATTCTCTTCCCTTCTCTTCCCTTTTCTTGCCTTCTCTTCCCTTCTCTTGCCTTGTTTCTCTTTGTGCCAGATATTTTCTACATGCGTCTTGTGGTCGATCTGACTTGCAGATCATCGGCAACCAGTTCCCGCACGACCAGGTCATAGGCACATCATAATCGACGCCGTCATTTGATATCTGCAGTTGCATGGGATGAGTCCTGCTCAGTGGGAGGGAGGCAAAGCGTGGCCTTTGGCAGGTGCAGACGAGCAGAACGTGGCATGGAGTGTTGGAGTAGTTCCAGGGGAGAACTGGGAAGGCGACTTGCAGTCATGGCCTCGGCCATTGCGGCAAAGCTAGGTCTATCCATTTTGCATCCAAGGAAATGGGTCCAGAATCTCAACAGCTGGGCAGCATCGCAGATCAGGCTGGGTTACGTCGGGCACGCCGGGCACGCCGGGCACGCCGTTCCGTCGGCGTATCGGGGCGTTCCAGTCCTCCAGTTGCTTCCAGTCCTCCAGTTGCTTTCGGTCCCAGCGCCAGGGACTGGAAGCAGCGCCCGCTTTGGGCGACCCCTCCCGTCGCCTCCGCCTACCAGTACTGGTCCCAACGCGGTGGCTCTGAGCTCATTGCCTACGGCACCCCTGGCACGCACTTCCCTACCGTGGTCTATTGCCGGCTGCTCGGCGTGCAATCCTCAAAAGAGACATGGGGAATGAACAAGTCTCACCCAGGCCCCGCTCGTTGGCAAAAAAATGGCTTGGCAAAGACTTGTGTGAGAGCGTAGACCGTCTTCTCGAAAGCAAGGAGTTGGCTTGGTTTCATTGGGATGGGCGCCAAACACCCAGGAGTTTGGCGCCTTTCTTCTTGTTTGTGCCTGAGCCGAGGTACTTGGCAGAGCAGAGCATGCCTTTGCAGTATCCCCGCACTTTGGTGGACTACCTGAAGACTCAGGGTGTTCGCTACGTCATGGTGGGACATACTCCGCATGGAAATGCCCCAACCGTCATCAGGCACGATTCCCTGACTCTCATCATGGCTGACACCAGTTTCAGTGACCTAGCATCCTGTTCAGCAAACGGTTCTCATTGCCCTATGTGGATTCGCATGCTGGCTGTTCCTTGTTTTTGTCATCGGCAACCTGCATCTAAGGTGATGTCAAAGCTAATCGCTTTTATCAAGGGGACAATCGTGGGAGTGCTGTGTGCGCCATTGAGTTCAATGGCCGAGCTTGGTCAGTGCGAGGCCAAACTGACAAGGACGAGGAAAAGAAACTGTACGAATTCTTTGCACTAGAGGCTTTTCAATCGCTTTAGGACACGCTAGCGTGATATGTTCTTCACATTGAGAAGCTCTGTCCAGCCATTTTTTGAAGTCCCTGAACAAGTGTCTGTGTCTGTGTCTGTGTCTGTGTCTGTGTCTGTGTCTGTGTCTGTGTCTGTGTCTGTGTCTGTGTCTGTGTCTGTGTCTGTGTCTGTGTCTGTGTCTGTGTCTGTGTCTGTGTCTGTGTCTGTGTCTGTGTCTGGATCTAACTTTAGTTTCGTTGGAGGGCATGATTGGTGAGGTAGTCACCGTGGGGATCAACAGGGCATAGTGGCAAACAAGCATGGGACGTAGGGAATCGCAGGACCAATGCATTGACTACACAGTCGGACAAGAGCACAGAGGCTGCGACCCTCTTGTAGGTCGCTTCACCAAGCCTGACAGCGAAGGCAGGCGGCATGCAACATGTTTCAGAAGTTGAAGCTCAGGTTCCAGGCAGCCTTGCCTCACAATTGAGATGCCTGTACTGCCTCGCTATGCCTGCGAGGAAAGGTGTTCTTTGTGAAGGCGAAGCTGTGCGGCGAAGGGTCAGGCTACCTTTTGAGCCGTGGCGATCAACCGGCAAACGGTTTGGGATTCTTGGGATTTGGGAGGGGTAACACGGCCCGCTCAGGAGCCGCGCACAGGGGTTCACCTACGAGTACGTTCTCTTGAGCGCCGCGGAGGCGCCGGGAGAGCGAGAACCCGCCATGCATCGATGCATCGATGCATCGCTTTTCTTTTCTTCCTCTTTTTCGGCTGAGGTGAAGGGGGCCATCCAGGGGGGCAGTTTCCATTTCGTGACGGAGCTGGCGGAGTTGGAGTTCTTGGAGGAGGACGTGCTGCTGAAGATCCGGCACCTCTTCCAGATGCTGGGGGCGGAGGAGGTTTGGACCTTCGAGTTGGAGGCCGCCGTGGGCGACCGGCTCTTCCGCCGGGGCCTCCGGAGCATCTTCCCATCCCTGGACCCCATTGCCTTGGCCGCCTCACTGAGCCGCACCGATGGCAAGATCACCCCTCAAGAGCTGCTCAGCCAAGGAGCCTGACAGCCAGAATGGGGTTTCTTTCCTTCTTTGTCTTCTTCTTTCTTTTTTCCTTTTTGGTGTTGTCTGTTTCTTCTTTTGATCCCTTGGTAGTCTGTTGCTTGCACGCCACTTGCTGTGCACATCACCATGTCGCCTTGATCCATTGTCAGCTTCATTGCGTGCTGCCTTGCCATTATCTCTCTCTCTCTCTCTCTTTCTCGTTAAATTCAAGCTGCTAAATGCGACAAGCGCAACTACTTGTAGTGTTCAACACTTCAACTGTAGTTCAATCTGCACGCGCCTTCTTGTACATGATTCATATTCAACAAGAAGTGCAACATGTAGGGTCCATCGGGGGGGCTTGCCGCGAGTCCAATGCATCTCTGCGTTGCAACCGACAGCAAGAGCAGCAACATCTTGTTTTCACATGTCGCTCATCCACTTCAAGTTTGTGTACATTTCTGCAGGCGGGACAGCATCTTCATGCCGTCGCCTGTAGTTGGCAAAGGCTTCCACTATTGATTCGAGGCTAGGTGTGGTGGAAAAGAACATGGCTGCCATCGGATTTATATGTTCCATGTCAAGTGATGCATCCAGCCTACCGGTCAAGTTCATCCTTCTCATGCTCCGTTTCATCGTCGAAGCCAGCGACTCGCAAGCCTGATCTCCCCCTATGATCTTACCAGCAGAAGACCCCGCTGGAATCATCATGGGTTCCTTGTACTTGCCACCTTTCTTCATCAAGGACTTGAGCAGTTTTTTAGGCACGTGCTTCAAGGAGACCTTCTTCACAGGTGTGTATTCGCTTTGCGAGTGCTTGGCCCTCACAGAAGTTAGTCCCAGCTGCTTCCATGCCCCGGCCAAGCCCTTGCTGCTGTCGCTTCCGATCAAGTGGTGCTTTGCAGACAGTCTGTCTTGCAAGAGCGGCACCACCTCACTCGTTGTTTCTGGTGGTCCCGGAGCTGCGGCCGCCGTGGAGCGCCGCCGCAGCGGCAACACTGCAGAGCTCAAGGACTGCCTATGCTTCACCATCAAAAAGCGGCCTGCATGAATGGCCGTGCCAGCAGGCTTCTTGAGCGTGTGCGTTTTGTCTTCTTGAACTGCTTCACTTTGTCCTTCTGGGCCTTCAGCATCTTCTTGTTGGCAGATGCCTTCAGCTTGCGCTTGTCCAATGTCTTCTTTTTGCCGTAGCAGCGTGTGCCGTCAACTTCGACCACCCCGGGCTCGAACACGGCAGCTTGGCTGCGCACCAAGTATTGGCGGGCAGCGACGATCCGTATGATCTTGAACGTCGCATCCGTGAACTCCTGGGTCCGGCCTATCAAGTGCCAGGCAGAGTCTTGCGGTATTCGCAAGGCAGCCACCCCGCAGCCTACCCCCAGACGGGGTGTGACTGTACCTGGACCGGGCTCCACAGCTGAAGCTCCGGAGCCGAGGAACGCACGCTCCATGGCGAGGATGTTGACCTGAGCACATAAAACACCCCGTGAAAGCATTGATCCACCAAAATATAAATAGTAGTCATCCGTTTAAAAACGGTACTGAGTTCAGGCCGAAAAGCCCGCGTGCCGCTTGCGAGGCTGTGGCGACTGGTCCATGATCCCCAACCGCTGCAAGTGGCGCGGGCATAAGCATGCCGCTACCACCCCGAACCCCCCCCCCCCTCCCCCCCCCGCCCCCCCCCGAACACGCGACGTGTTGCGTCCACGGAAAGGAAATTTGCCGCTAAAATGCTGGTAAAACACACATGATATGCAAATAGGAACAAGTGCGACTGTTGAAAGTGCGGCAAACCCCCCCCGATGGACGCAACATGTAGTTTGACACGCCGCTTCAGCTTGATTGTTTGTAGTGTCGACAAACTGGAAATGCAACCAGGGAAGCGTGTCACACTTATTTTCATTCAACAGCAGTGATGGAAACTAGCGAGCTTTCCAACAGTTCTACTGGATTTCTTGAAGTACTTCAGTAGCGCTCGCTGTCCGAAGCGAGTCCACTAAATCATCCTGAAGTTATGGATGTAGTTCATCTCAAAAGGTCAGGCAGTGGTGTAGTTGGTGTCAAGTAGTAGATGGTAGTCCCAGATGAAACCGTTGCTGAGAGTGTAGCGGTTGTTGAACTCGTCCTGGATGTAGTATGCGCCTTGGTAGAGGTTGATTTGAAGGGAGTAGTGGCTCATGCTGGAAGTGGAATGGTTGAGGTAGCCTCTTTTGAGGTAGTTGAGGCGGTCGTCGCAGAGTAGTTGTTGTGCGTAGTGATTGAACAGTGCTACGGTGAGTAGTGCGCTTTGTAGTTGTGGTGTGGCCTTCCGTGAGCGAACAGTAGTTCCACATATGTGCGTTGTAGGTTGGTCATGTAGGTGTCCTGGAAGTGCGCGCAGTGGAAGAAGTTGTGGGTGTAGTGTAGTGTGGGCCATGTCGTTGCAGTTGTTGATTGTAGTTGGGTTGTTGCTTCCAGCAGGGAGGAAGTAGTCTTCCAACGTGAGTGGAATGTAGAGCTTGGTGTATTGTGCGTAGCAAATAGCTGTTTCCTGAGGTGTAGTCCCTCATCAACTCCTGTGCAAATTGCACATCGTTCGGATTTTGTTGAACTAAGTGCAGTTGAAGCTTGTGTTCTGCTGCCAAATGCACTGTTGTTCCAAGGAAGTGGATGTTGAAAGCCTGGAAGTAGGGCACCCTGCCCAACCCGCATCGACGTAGACGTCGAGGTCCAGGATGTTTGTGTTTGCTTTAAGTGTTTGTTGGTTCTGTGGTGAATGTGTAGTGTTTGGTGCTGCACAAGTATCGTAGCACATGCTTGACTTGCTTTCGCGAGAGTTCTGTAGGTGCTGTGAGGTGTGGTCTGCTGTTGGGTAGGCAATGTCGGGTCGTGTGTAGGCTAAATACTACTTGCGTGCTTAGAAGTTGCGAGTCTCGAGCCGGAGCTGCGGGAGCACACTTCGCGTACTACTTTTGCGCTCAAAAGTTGTGAGTTTCGATCCTGAGCTGCGCAAATGCTCTTTGCGTCCTGCTTGTGTGCCTGAAGCATGCGATTGCAGCCGAAGCTGCGGGGGCGCGCTTCGCAAGCTACTTCCGGCGCTCAAAATTGCGATTTTGCCGCCAAAACTGCGGGAGTGCAGTTTCCGTATACTTTTGGCCTTAAGAGATCTGAAGATACGATTTTCGAGCCGGAGCTGCCGCGGACCGATGAATTTTCTGTACCTTTTCTGAGTGCTTTGTCCTCTAAAGTTGGTTTGTAGCGTGCAATTGCTGGAGTTGCTGCTGTGTTGCAGTTGTTCATTCCAGTCTCATCTATCATGTAGGAGTCTGGAAGTTTAATGCTCGCCCGAAATAGCCAATGTGCTTAAGTAGCACTTGTTTATGGATTGCCTCGAAGGAGGGGTCGACAGTCGTCTTGTCGTTATGTAGCAGTCCCGAGCCGCGTTGGTGTAGACGTTCGGTTCCGACTTGAGTCGCGCAAAGCCGAGCTTTTATAGCACCTCAGCCAGATAGTCCTGCCAAGCCTTGGAAGTGCGTAGTCCACACATGGATATCTTTAGCCAGTTTGTTCTGTTGTGGACATATAGGTGGCCAAATGTAGACGTCGCCTTGATTCCCGTCGTCATTCTTGGCTATGGGTGCGACAAGTCTCGCAGCCCGTTTTGGTCGTGACATTTGAAGCACTGGAAGCGTCCGGCGTGTTGTGAATGTTGGTGTAGAGGCGTAGGTGATGTCCTCGTCCTCAATCTTCTCGGCGTAGCCCTTTGTGACGGCTGTGTTTCGTTTTCTCGCGGTGGACCCATCTTGTAGGGATTGCTTCTGTTATGACTTCGTCGTCAAGCGTAGAAGTATCTACCTCGTCGTAGATGTCAGGTAGTTTCATTTGGTCCGACTCGTGTTTCATTTTTGTTTCAGTAGTTTCTCCTCAAAACCTTCGTTGTCGAAGGTTATGGGTTACTGCATTGATTCTTTGTCGATGTGGTTCGCTGGTGGTTTCTTCCGTTGTGGTCTTTTGGACTACGGTTGTTTGTGTGACTTCTTCCGGGGTCATGTGTCGCGGTGATTGTCGAGGTGGTGGTGCTGGAAAGAGCCATAGGGCGATTTGGTAGTGGTCGTGAAGTTGACGCTCAAAGTTGAGTTGGTTATCCAGTAGCGTCGCGAACTACGGGTGGTAGGTGTTACGTCGTGGTGCCCAGGGCGTGCCAACGCGCTTAAGCCCGTTGCGGCGCCAGCTGCAAAAGGCAATTGCATCAGTGCCCCCCACCCTTTTACTCTCGCTTCTTGCAGCTGTTGGGTCACAGCTTGCTTTGTGCTTTTGGGAGGGAGGTGATTGCCATTTGAGCAAGCGCGGCTTTTGGCAACGGCTTTGCGTTGGCCTCTGTGTGCTGCTGCCTTGTAGGCCACATGGGGCTTGTGGCCTACAGGCAGGCATCAGCATGTTGCCAAAAGTCGCGCCTGCGGTTTCGGGGTAAAGGGGCGGAGTGTCTGCGTGATGTTCAGTAGTGCTAGGTCGTACTTGCGGCCTGGTTGTAGTCGACGAACAGTCCTTGCCTTGCGTGTGCCTTGTTGTGTCGCGACGTAGAATCTCCGGCCCCTGGCAAAGCTTGTGTGTCTGTCGGAGTGAAGATGTAGCGATTGACAGCGTGTCGTGCTGTCCACGCTAGTAGACAGTGCTTTGCTGACATCGTTGCTTTCAACTTGTGCTTTGACGGCGCGTATTTGTCCGAGAAGTGTTCTATGTACTCGTTCTGCCTTGAGTATTGACGTACAGCCGTAAAGCCCGATTTTTGACGTTGTTGCTCTGAGTAGTGCGTTGAGAGTGTCTTCGTTGTCGCTTCGCAGTATGCCTTGGGTTCTTCCGCACTCAAGATGAACGTTTGCAGATTGTTGATCATGTAGTCCATCATTGATGCCTTTTCGGAGCCCAATACCGCCGTTCACAGTTGTGTAGTGACATCAACTGCGGTCTTAACTGGTATGGTTTTCGGATCTTGTGGTGATTTGATGTAGGCGAAATCTACTTGAATGAAGGGTTGTCCTGATTGTTGTTTCTTTTAGTTGTTTTGGCGTCCTTTGCCTTGTGCGCAAATTGGACACCAGTTTCGGTATGACAAGCGTGTTAGGTTTTGTTCTGCTATTTCTGTGGCATTGGTTGTTGAGGTCGTCATAGTCCTCGTGCTTTGTGTGTTTCGTGGTGTTCGTGTTGTTGTTCCTCGCCGTAGTTTTCTTGAAGGTATTCGTAGTTTTCTTGATGGTGAACCTTGCAGTACCTTTCCATTGGAATGGTTGCGTTGTGACACTTCACCGAAGTTGTTGTTGGAGATTGTGGTTCTAAAGGGTTTGAGTGTTTTGATGGGTGGATGTCCATTTCGTTGAATGTTGGTTCCAGTAGTTTGGTGAGGTTCCTATAGCGTCACGTATGTGTGCTCTGATGTCTGCATCCTCAATCTGTCGTGTAGCCACTTGTGCTAGCTGCAGTACCAAGTCGAAGTCTCTGTCAACTAGTCCAAGGCAGGCTTGTTTTCTGAAGAGCCATTCTTCAAATTGCGTTGCAGTTTGTATCTATGCAGTCTTTGGACGTCGTTGTTCTGATCTTGCGCTGCTCCTTTGTAGTTGTTCCGTTGCCTGTTCCTGTAGTGGGCTGATCTGATGCTGATGCTGGGTTCTCCTGACATGTCGTAGTAGTTTGGCATGTGGTGGCTTCGCTGCTGTTGTACTTACTCGTATACTGGAACTCCCCTTTGTGTGGGATCTCAGCTCCAACACTTCAACAGTAGTTCAATCTCGTGCGCCCTTTTGTAGCCTCACTATGGTTGTGGCTCAAGGTCTGAGGTATTGTACGTGATGCGTAGTCAACAAGAAGTGAAACATGTAGTTTGACATTTCTCTCTCTTGTCTCTTCCCTTATGCGTATCCCTTTTTTGACAATCCACTTGGCAAACCGAAAGAGCAATAAGCTACAAGACGCGTGTAACACTTCCATCCTTGATGTGCCAATGATATTCAGAACAAAGCCCGCTTTGTCAGCTTTTGGTATGAAAATACATGACTAATATGAATATATACATATATATATATATATATCCTAGAATTTAGATATGAAGGACAGAAAGGCAGAACACCAGGACAAGAAAGAACGTGACATATAGGCAATGCATCAATTGTTGGATTGCTAAGAATTCGTTTCCTTGTGGCAGTCAGTTTTTGCGGATATTGTCAGCTTTGTTGAGGACAAAGTGTAGAGCTACTCTAATGCTTTCTCTCTCAGCCGCAGTCCAGGCGGATGAACCGCCACTCCAAGTGGTTGTTTTGACTTCTTGAGATTGCTCTAATTGTTTTCCTTCACAGTCCGATCAGTGGCAAATATGGTGCGCTCTGCTCTTGGCTTGGCAGTGCGTAATTACCGCGTGCAGTGTTGCGAGTTAAGCTCGAACATGTTGGTATTCTTTTTTGAGGGGACTGTACCGTACCTCGCTAGGTTCCACGAGCTCTGCCGAGCCCATTCCTCGGCAGAGGCGCGACGGCTTCCGAGGCTTTCGAGTGAGTTGCATCGCACCTTGCCAGGTCCAGAACTGCCTCCTTTTCCCGGTCGCGCCGCAGGGTCAGACCGCGGTGCTCGGGAACTTTCCCAAGGCAGGAGTGCCATTGCGATGCGCTATGCGCGATGCGCATGAAAGCCATGCGCCGACCATGCGCCGACCATGCGCCGACCATGCGCCGACGGCCCAGGCTTTGCCCTTCTTTACCTGCATGCCACCGACGCACGTCAAGCCAGCCCACCTGTCCGTGTTCAAAGGGCATTTGGCCACCTGGAAGCAGCTGCCCCGAAGATTCGAATGCCACTTGGAAGGTCTCCAGTCGGATGCTTGGAGCACATTGCTAGTGGCTATGAGGGTGTGGTCAGTTGCGGTTCGACGGTTCGGCGGTTCGTCACGGTGTTGTTCTTTTTGTTGCTTTGTTCGGAGCCAGGGAGTCCGTGATTTCCACGTGAGGAGAGTTCGCACGTGAAGACCTTCTTCGACATGCTGCGACAGCATGATCGCAAGCGCATAGTCTCCAGCATGCCGCTCTGACAGGATCTGCAGATTCACATTCTCGCTTGTCATACCGGGCCCTGGGCTTGCCCAAGTGGATTTGCTTTTTTTTGCACACCAAGGTCTGCCATCGCAGATGTGAATGTCGGCGAGTTCGACCGCAATCAGCTGCAAATTCCAGATTCTGGCAAGTACATTGCTTGGAGCTACGCGGCACAACATGTTGCCACACGTTTGCCGATGCATTTGCCGATGCATTTGGTGTGCTTGGTGTGCTTGGTGTGCTGCTGTGAGTTGCATGAGAGGGGAGTTCACTCCTGTCTCAGGCCACCCCTTTGCCTTGTCCCATTGGGACTGGGAAGATCCCTTTGTGCAGAGCTTGCTCGTCAATCCGGATGTTGCCTTCTTCACGATGGGCAGCTTCGTGTACTTTGCCACTCCGCAAGCACGAGAGGTGTTCGCTCAGAGAGGAATGAGACACCTAGGATGAGAAGTACGAGCCGGTGCATATCAATGCAATTGTGCCGCACCCCTCTGGCAGCCTTCGGTTTGGCCCGCCACAGCCCTGTGCTTAGAGAAGGGATCGGGTCCCTGTTTGACATGCTCTGCTTGACACATTGACCAATTGAAAAGCCCGAGACCGCTATCCCATACCTGGGCAGAGAGACAGCTTACCCGTGGCTCGGCAATCAATGGCACTGCTCAAGAAGCTAGGCGGTACACGAACTTGAGGCGGCAATTTCCAGCCGGTGATGCTCCATTCTTTGCTTTGTCAAGGGGCCTCTGACTACACTTGGCTGCCGCCACTTGGACTTCTCTTCCCATCCGAGGGGACGTACCCTCACCTTTTTGACCAAGGCCAGGCCACAAAGAGCCGGATTGCCCCTACGGAGGCTTCGCTTATTTGGGCAAAGGCTGGCACGTTTCGGACTTTCGAGTCCGAAGCCGTTCCGAGTCCCGCTCGCGGCTAGGCCTGGGGAGCATGGACACCAGCGAAGAGCTCCTGATGTCCACGGTTTGACAAAGAGCTCCTGATTTAAAGGCTGTAAAGGCTGAAAGGAAAACAAAAAGAGTCTTTTGAAGCTACCCGCTCGATCACTTTACGATACGCGCTTGGCGGTCTTCGCGGTCTTTGCGGTCCTCGTGATCTCCGCGTTCCTTGTTTCACTGGTGCCGTGCCCCCGTGCCCCAGTGCCCTCCATAGTGAGACGCTGGCGGTGTAGCGAGTCGTCCATCGCATGTTTCATTGCAGCTGGTCCATGGAGACACAGCGTAGGATGGGACAACGGATGCACATTTCCAAGGGACTGGGATTTGTTTTTTTTACCGTGCTGCTTTGGAGCTGTTTCTTCGGCTTCACTATCCCCGCCCCAGTGCCAAAGGCTGGTTTTACAAGTCGAATTGCTGTTCGAAGGGTTTTGGACTGGGGCGAGGGGTTGCAACTCGGTCTGGTCTATGCATCATCCTGAAGGATGTCTCCATGCGATGCGACTTTATTCGCGCAGAAAAATGCGAGGGATCCATCGATCTATCCGGTGCAAGGCTCCAAGGCTTGATCTCGATGCGGCGAGGAACCTGAGCAGAATGCGCTCTCTGGCTTCGAGTGCGTGCGGCTTAGTGACTGCTTTCCTGCTGCATTCCTTCTGGCTCATGGCCGAGCCTAAGGCTCGACAGGAGACGCTGGACGCATTCCTTGAAGCCACGCGTGGCGCGCTTTGTGAATTTGTTTGTGGCAGAGGGCTTAATGTCTTTGGTTGAATGAGTGCTAAGCATCAAGCTGATACACGAAGAGCATGTCGCAATGTAATGGGGCATAGCATTTTGGAGGTAAAAGGTCAGATATCATAGTGACATCCAAGCACGCCAGTGACACCATGCCATCCAGTAAGCAAAAGAGGTCGATTTGTGCGCCGTTTGAGGTGCGGCGAAGTTATCGACTCTGACTGCAGCTCAAGTCTCCTTGCGTTACCCATGTTGCACTTGCTTGTACTGAGGGCGGCGCAAAACGCCAGCTCGGGGCCTCTCCAGGAGGTGGGGGGTGACATTTTCCGTGTCAGCCTTTCCGCCACTTTCCGCCACTTTCCGCCACTTTCCGCCAGGCAGAGGAGCAAGGCAAAGAGTTGGTGACGGAGCCGCTGATGGCTTCCATGGAGGTGTCCCTGGCACGCAGGCGGTGTTAGGGGAGACGCACGCGGGACGGACGCAGGCGGTGCGCGGTCCCGGCACGGTCACTCCGTGGACCCGTGGCAGCCTAAGGGCAATCCGTGGGGAATGTTTGGCGTGGACCAATCCCCCAGGCAGCGCCGCACATGCCCCTGGGCTCTACTGCGAGAAGGCAGCTGAAACGTGGCACATGTGGCACTTGGGCTCGTGCAAGTGCAGCATGTGCGATGGCAGGTCTGCGAAAACCGCCCCGACGACAACGAGCAATTCCTCAAATGACAAAAAAGTGTCGCGGATCGAAGTGAGCGCCATGCATGACTCGCAGTTTCAATGCCTCCGAAGCTTGGAAGCGAGTGTCGCAGTACTCAGCTCAAGCCTGGCAAGCTGGCACATGCGAGGGATGTAGGCGAAGCTAAGCTACTGGCCATTGCCCATTCAGTCGACGAGGCTACGAGCAGAGTTCTCCTTCGGAGCATTGGGCCTTACAGCTGAACTCCGGGCCATGTGAGGGATGGTGTTCTCAGATGCAGCCAGGCGCCCTGTGAGGTCTTGAGGCAGAGCGCCATTTCGCCCGAGCATCTCGTTGCAGTTGTGTGCCTGAGTCAAATCGAGGACGCTTGGCTTGCCGGGCACCTGCGCCACTCCCAGCTGTTGGCGTCGCCCAGCATGCGCGGCTTGCGTTCCGAGGCGCCCCGAGCTGCCGCGGCTTTGTTTCGGCGCGGGGGCGCTGCTGCTGTCCAGCCACGTGCCCGGGCGCGTCCGCACAAGTCACGCCGCGCACAGCTCCGGCGAGGTTTTGTGAACTTCCGCACGGGCGCGCAGCTGAAGGCGGCGATCGAGGGAGGCAAGTCACCCGCACGTAGCCTGCTTCTTTTTGGCCTTGGCGCTGCAGCAGGCCTGGCCTTGCCTTCGATTCCTCGACTCCCCTGCCTTCCGCCCCTCCGCCCTCTCGCAGGCTGCCTCCGCACCGTGGTCTTCGACAGCGCGTCGGAGCGCTTGCGCGCCTCCATGTGCGCGCAGGCAAGCCGTCCGTCTCTCCGGGCCTTGCGCTCGCGACTTGCGAGGTCTTTGCTGCAAAATTGTTGGAAGAGCCCAAGGAGGCTTGGGGTGGGCTTTGGGCATGTGATATGTGACTCTGACAAGATGTGGCATGTGACCAGAGCTTGTGCAATTGTATGGCAGGAGCCAGGTACCTCCGGTACTTCTTCCGTGGCAGCTATGGACAGTGATGTGGCACTCTGCCCCCTGGCTGGTTTGGGTGCATTACGCCGGCAAGGTGGCAAGGAAGTGATGGCCAAACGAGTGGCAGCCATTTTGTCCGAAATGCAAGGTGCAGACTTGATTCTGAAGCTGCAAAATGTCGCATTGCTCTCAGATGTTGCTCGTGTGTCGCTTGGTTTCGTTCATTGCCCGCCTAGGCGAGATACACGTGCACCGGGCTCGATTTGGTATACTTGCTGTTAGACCAAGAGGATGCATCGCTGCCAGCTCTTCCATTGTGGGCGGCACCATTGCCATGTTCCGCGCTTCCTGGAAGCTCAGTGCAGCAGCACCGGCCTTTCACTTTGTGTGTCTGCAAGATTTCACTTAAGGCAACAAGTGATTTCACTTGCTAACGCGGCGAGCGACTCAGTGCTCTCCCTGCGAGGTGTGGCCCTTGCTGGTGACCGGCGCTTTGCACGGAGCACGTGCCCGCCGCCCCGGTCTCCCGTTCCCGCACGCCCGAAAGTTGCTGAGGGCATTGATCCGGGTGCACTTCCTTGATGAAAATCGAAGCAACGGTCATGGCTTCAGGCTGGTGCCAAGCGCTCCATGAAGTCGGCGCAGTCTTTGGCCCGGGCCGCAGTGTCCAAGGTGAAAGGCCCCGCTCGCTCGAGCGCGCGAGGCGGAGGTCCGGGAAGACGCCTTGGGCTTCGCGGAGGAGCGCTTGCAGCACTCGGACCTGGTGAGATGGTTCTGCCGTGCGCCGACCTCAGCTCCTCCCGTGTCTCCTCCATGCGCATGGCGCCAATGGCGCCAATGGCGCCAATGGCGCCGCGCTTCACAGGCCGAGCACGAGGCCAAAGCGTTGGCAACTCAGCTCGACGGTCCGATCAGATCGGAACATCGACGGAGGGCTTGGAACCACTTGGAACCTCTCCGAGGTTCAAAGCCAAGTGTGACAAGGCCGTGGCTGTGGCCACCAGAGCGGCCAGAGTTCGAGGCATCTCCCATCTTGCCCAGAGCCAAGAGGAGACGTAAGTGGCAACCAACAAATCCGTCTTTTTCACTTATAAATCATGTTCCTCATGTCCCACGCTGAGGTCCTGGACTGGGCCTCAAAGAGCGTCCTGCTGGGCTTGGCATCTTTAGGCAGCCAGTTGGTGGCCCGTCCGGAGACCTAGAGTCTGAGAAGCCGCGGCATGCGAGGGCCAGGCCATCTCCCTCCCCTGCTTTCCTGCCTTCCTTCTTGACTTGGGGCGAGCCTCACACGTTCCCAGGCGGGGAACTCACTGCCGGCGAGCTGACTTCCTACTTCTTCCACGCTGCCTTCCTGGGCAGCTCGGAGAGATCTCGGAGAGTTCTCGGAGAGATGCCTCGGGAGGGCACAGGGCCTCGCGAGGTCTCGGCCTCTACGGCTTTGTTGGGCTCATCCCGGAGGCACATCACGTGGATCCACGGATGTCGTGCATGTATGACGGATGTCTCTATGAAACCCGTCCCTTTGAGCCGACCCGGCCTTTCAGTGTGCAGATAGCGGTAGCTCGAGCAGCAGCAGTGCGGCTTTCTGCCACAGTGGGCCAGGCGCACGCGGGCGCCTCAGCACAGATGGGTGATTCGTTTTAGATTGGCGCCTTGCAGTGCCAATTTTGCTCGCATTGCCATTTGGCCGCAATCTGCTTGGAAGGTCCCCGAGCAACCTGCGGGCTCATTGCTGTCTGGCGAGAGAGCACTTCCCGTCAGCTTCAGCGAAGTCCACTTTAGGCCTGCAAGTTCAGGAGTGGTCCAGATCCAGCGTGGTAGGCTCCAGTTGAGTTTTGGGTCTGTGGGCCAGATACCCGCGGTCGCCGGAGCTGTTGCGGGGCTTCTCCCTTCAGCTGGCAGCCGGCGAGTGCGGTGCCCCAGGAACTTTTCATAACATGTTTGTGTGCTCTGTGTTTTGTGTGTTTGTGTTCTTGGCTGAAAGAAGGGGAGATGGTGCAACCCGGCCGCTCGCCCTCCGCTTCCCCTTGCCTTCCTGCCTTTGGATGTGTTCGGAGGCAGGTCCTTTGGGTTTGCTGTGCCCTCTCACCGTCGCCCTTGTTGCCGCACATATATCGCATGTATATATATATATATCATATATCACATATATATATATATGGTACAGCGTTGCCAGCCCCCCCCCCCCCACCAATGGTCATGGGTCAGGCAAGTACCGCCCCCCCCCCCCCTGTGGTTGTGGTCCTGTGGTTGGGTTGTGGTGGTTTAGGGTTGGTTTAGAATTGGTTTAGGGTTAAATTAGGGTGTATTTAGGGTTAGTTTAGGGTTGGTTTAGGGTTGGTTTATGTTGATTTAGGGTTGGTTTAGGGTTGGTTTAGGGTTACGGTTTAGGGTTTGGTTTAGGGTGTATTTAGGGTTGGTTTAGAGTTAGTTTGGGGTTGGTTTAGGGTTGGCTTAGGTTTAGGGTTTATTGTTTAGGGATTGGTTTGGGGTGTATTTGGGGTTAGTTTAGGGTTGGTTTAGGGTTAGTTTACGGTTGGTTTATGTTGATTTAGGGTTGGTTTAGGTTTAGAGGTCTACGGTTTAGGGTTTGGTTTAGGGGGTATTTAGGGTTGGTTTAGGGTTAGTTTAGGGTTAGTTTATGGTTGGTTGCGGGTTGGCTTGTCCTGGGGGTGGGGGTGCCGGGGTGTCGGGGTGCGAGTTCAGGGGGTCGGGGTGGGGGTGGGAGTTAGACCAGACCTTGCCCATCTTTTTTTTTTTTTCAATAAAAAATCCTAGGGTCCACCCTACACTTTTAGCAACATTTTGAAACAGTGCCTCAAAAAGCACATTTTCAAAAATCAACATTTCAAAGCAGGTAATTTCCTAGTCAGTTTATCCAATATTTTATATTCACAATTTTCAAAAGTATATATGGGCAAGGTTAAGTTCATTCATTTTCAAAAAATATAAATTTTCAAAAAATATAAATTTTCCAAAAAAAACAAAAATATAAATTTTCAAAAAATATAAATTTTCAAAAAAAAATCAAACATATAAATTTTCAAAATTTATAGATTTTAAAAAATAAATTTTAAAAAATAAATTTTACAAAAAATTTTAAAAAATAATAATTTTTAAAAAATACATTTTACAAAATATAATAAAAAACAAAAAAAACAATAATATTATTCCAACAATTATGATAAATTATTTTACAATAAATTTTATCACAAATTTTGTAGAAATATTATGGGCAAGGTTATGTTCATTCGTTTTTTATAATTATTCAAATCTTTTTCTAAACATTCTATATTTATACAATATGTTAAAATCAACTGCATCTAATTTTTCTTTGCTACAAACCCATCTGTTGCCATTCCTTTTTATTTCGATTAACCATTCAAATTCTCTAAAGCTTAAATACCACCAATTGGGTGTATTTTGACTGTATGAATAGTTTCCAGCATTTCTAATTATTCGTTCGTTGTTGGTTTGTTCCATATATTTTATCATTGCATGTTTTAATGGGATGTAATTTTTCGTTTCAATATTGTTTATCGTTTTATGATGTTCTGTAGTTTCCTTTTCTAACCGTTTTTCAGTTACAAATCCGTAACTGTCATCTTCTTCTTCTATTTTATTATCATTATCACTCAAAAAATCATCAACTATTTTAGTTTCCTGTTGTTCAATATAATTTAAGAATTCATTGATAATTTCTTCCTGTTCAACCTCTGTAAATACAACCATTTGTATGATAATATATATAATTAATATTTCTTTAAATACTTTTTACAAGAAATTTAATTTTAAAATAAAATTAAATTTATAAATTAAAATTACTAAATTAAAATTAAATTAAAATTAAATTAATAAAATAACATTAAATTAATAAATTAAAATTAAATTAATAAAATAACATTAAATTAATAAATTAAAATTAAATTAAAAAAAATAAAATTAAATTAATAAATTAAAAATTAAATTAAACAATTAAAATTAAATTAATAAATTAAAATTAAATTAAAATTATATTTAAATTAAATTAAAATTACATTATAATTATATTTAAATTAAATTAAAATTACATTAGAATTATATTTAAATTATATTCAAATTACATTTAAATTATATTGAACAAATACATTAAAATTCTATTGAAATTATGATGAAATTTATGTTTCAAATATATTTAAATTATGATTAATATTAGGATTGTTAAAATTGGATTAATTTTACAAACAGAACCATTGCCTGGAGATAATTCTAATAAATTCATATTATTAGAATTATTTATATTTTAGTTTTCAACAATTACATATTTACCATCATCGCCCTTAATTAGTTTATAATATTCTATTGTTTGTTCTTTTGGACTTTTGATTTGTCCCTTATTTGACATATCACAATATTTTTTACGCTTCGTGTCATAATCACCGCTGGGTCTGCCTATCCCTTTCTTTTCAAAGATTTTGTCAATCTTTTCCTTCTCTTCACTGCTATTTTTTGGTTCGTATGCCTTTGCATCAAGTTTCTGGTCAATAGTTCTTATCATCTCGTACAACAGTTTAACATTTTTACTAACTGTCATTATTTTCTTTGATAGTTCAGCAATACCATCATTCTCAACTTCAGACATTTTCTATATATATTTATCTATATATTTATTTATTTACATATTTATTTATAAAATTGATTTATTGTAAAATCTACTCTTTAAGTACTAAATTTTCATCATTTGTTTAATAGTTTCCTGAGTTTCGTTATCACCATTATCTGACATTGTTGCCTCATTTCCAAATTTGATAGAAATGTTATGTGCATCTGTTTCCAGGTTGATACTGTCCTTAGTTTTATCAATATTCATTTTCTTATCATTTTTAGTTATTTTAAACCCTAATGGCACACAAGAACATTTGCAATTTCCCTTCCTTTGTATTTCCAGTTCGTTTTTTAGTTCTAACATCTTTTTACACATAGGACACTCAAACTCGGTTAGTGCTGTTTCTTTAACAATTTCTTCTTCTTTGTCTTCATCTGTTGAAGAAACTGTAGTATCTGTTTTATTCTTTTTGTTTTTCTTTTTTCCCATTTATATTAATATTTACATTTTTATTTTTGATATATTGTATTCCTAATTTTATTAATTCTAATGAATAATAACTGCATTTTTTAATTTTATTGTCAGTTATTATTACTTGTTCTATATTCTCTACTTCATCTATTATATCAATATAATCTGAATAACTTCTATCCATATTAAATAATAAGATAAATTATTCTAATTAATCTTATTATTTCATGCATAATAGAATATTGGTGGGGCACAGCACTTGGGTTTTTCATTGCACACGCGAGCAAGACACAAAACTAATTATCTTCAATGCTTATTGATTGAAGCAATGGACACCTGTTCCATTATGTTATTCACCGCCACTCATAACATAATGATGTTCCATTTAATATTAATTACAAGTTAATTTATAAATATAATTTTCTATATTTCTTTAATATCAACTATGACAGATGTCCCACTAATAAAACCAATAAACATAACTGAATATGAATTCCATCAATCCAAGTATGAGCACGTGCCAAAATTACCATTTAGAAGTATTATAGTTGCGAGTTCGACGGGAGGCAAAACAGTTTTAGTTCAGAATCTTATTTTAAATGTTTATAGAAATTCATTTGCAAGAATATTTATATTTTCACCCAGCGTTCATAATGACCCAACTTTTACAGAAGTTAAAAAATACATCAGGGATGAATTGCACGTAGATGATGAAAAAGAACAAATATATTTTGATAATTATAATCCAAGTGATTTAGAAAATGTAATTGAAAGACAGAAGAAAATAATTAATTATATGAAATCTAAAAAGATAAAGAAACTGCATTCAATATTAATCGTTATAGATGACCACGCAGACGATCCTAAATTTGTTAGATATAGTAAATTATTACACGGGCTTTTTACAAGAGGCAGGCACGATGCAGTAAGTGTAATTTGTTCAACACAAAAATATAATGTTTTAGCGCCTATCATTCGTTTAAATGCCAGTTCATTATATATTTTTAGGTTGAAAAATGCAAGTGAGTTAATGAGTTTTATTGAAGAAAATAGCGCCATTGTTGATAAACAGCAATTATTAGATATGTATCATCAAGCCGTTAATGACGCACCTTATAGTTTCTTCTACGTGAATATGAATGCTAAAGACATTAACAACATGTTTCATATCAGATTTGAACAGGCGTTTCAAATTACGAATGATGAATAAAGATATTCTAATTTCATATAATATAATAATATGTCAATGAAACTATGTAGATGTGGTGGATTTTATCGTAGAGGTAATTATAACTTTCATACTAATTCTTGGATACATAAACTTTATAAGGCATTGAAAAGAAGGGCAACAGACGGGGAATTTTTAAGATTTCAAAATAATTTTGTTGATGAAGAAGATTTAATAGATGATATAAGTAGTACTACTTCAACAACAATACCAGAGGATAAAATGACAGATTATGATAGCAATTAATAATATTATTATATGTTAATATTATTAATTTAAATTAACGAAGCATTACAAAATTGTAAAGCAGGAAGTTTATATATTAATTTGTCAGATTTTTCTTTCTCTAGTTTCTCAATTCGTGTCACACATTCTTGAAGAGATTTAATAATTAAAGTGTCTGCTCGTGTTTTTTCATCTATACTTAAATTCTTAATGTCTTCCAAACTATTATTTTCATTATTTTTACTTTGACCAATACCCATTATATATAATATTATTTGGATTTTAATTTTTCAAAATTATCTTTTTGTAATTCTTCTTCTTCGTCTTCAGTTGGTGCTGGTATTTCTGTTGGACTTTCAGATGAAGAACTATGGACAGTAATAGGTGGAGAACTATGAACA